TGTAGTGACCAGCCGGGTCGTTACAGATGACATTTTTTCTTCTATGCATTATCTAATGGTTATTCTTTTCTTGCTCAAAACAATGAGTCTTTCTTAATCTAATCTAACCCCTCCCCACTTAAATAAGTGTATATACACATTTGAGTCTTTATCCATGTAAGGAAGGAGTTAAAAACTCAAAAATTAAAAAATATTTAAATAATAATTTTAAGGTAATTATTATTAAAATTAACAAAATTAATGTACATAATGACAATTGATTCAATAGTTGTGTATAAACATTTTATATAATTAATGTATTTTAATTATAATTATTTTGATTTCTATAAATATTTCCTATCTTGATGATTTTCAAAATAAAAACAAATAAAGTCCCTATAAAATAAATGAATTTTGATTTTGTTTTCTAAAATTTTTCATCTTTCTAAAATTTAAAACAATTATTTTCGATACCTATAAATAAGTTAATTTCAATATGATTTTTTATTTTAATTTTTATCCCTCCAAAATTTTAAATCATCATTTTTAGTCTCTAATATTTATTTAAAAATAAATAAATAATATTGATTTTAGAAATTAATTTTATTTAGAGGTGTTTTATATTGACAAAGTATTACGTATATTAATAAATATTATTTGAGTGGTTACTTAACTTTCTATTAAATATATAAGTAATTAATAACTATTACAAAATAGGATAGACCATTGTATTAGAAAATAATTTGCAAAAAAAAAAATAATAGAGGCAAAAAAATAATGATTACATAATTTTTTAAACAATAAAAATCAAAGAAATTTTTATAATAACTAAAATTAAAATTTATTTATTTTATAAAGACTAAAAATATATTTAAATTAAAATAAAATAATAAATTATTAATGATTACAAAATTTGTTTTAGGATATAAAGAGTCAATCTAATATTTTCAATAATATTAAAAAATATTTGACCGGCATAAGTTCGCGAGTATTAATACTTGATTATTCACTTTTTAATATTATGTGAATTGTGTTCATAGATTAAAAAATATAACTCTATTAAAATAAAAATCAAAAATATTTATCTTTCTTTTCCTTTTTCTTTTAAAACACTACTCTCTCACTCAAATAGGTTTTCATACACTTTGAGAAATAATGTCTTTTTTAATTTTTTTTTTTTAATTTTAGGCAAAAGATTATTTCGTTCTTTAATTTTTTTTAATCTTTTTTATTCCACTACAGCATTATTTCTTATCTAAAAAATATAACTAAAATTATCCTAAATTGTGATACCATTGCACAATAAATAAAATCTCATACGCATTTATCTAGCTTAAAATAATGTTGACGGGGGTCACGTGGCTTGTATCACTATTAAGCAAAATTTACTTAAAGGTGATTTTTTTTCCTAGACTAATGTTAAAATTAAAATAAATTCCACATGATTAATACATTTTATTTAAGTAAATGTTCAAATAAGATTTTTACATAATACAGGAAATTTGTGTTGTGTGCAAAGAAATAACTGGTAAAACGAAAATTCATTATTTACAAACAAGAAAAAAAAATCAGTGGGATCTACCTATCCTTGTTTACTATATAAAAGATTGGTTGAAAATTGATGCGACAGTTTTGTACGAAATCGAAAGTATATGTTATGGCACTATGAAAGGAGTACATGTGGGGTTTGTCTAGCTTCAAAACAACGTAGTTTCATTAATGTCCTAAGTAAATATTCGTTTGACGGTGTGACAAATTCATAGCAACATCATTATCAGTCTTGTTGGAGAAAATCATTGTTTTGAAGGAATCGTGATTTGGAACACATCTTTACCAAACTTCAAATAGTTGTGAGATTAATATGTATCCAAAAAAGTTATATATGGCACAAAAGTTTCTTTCTTCTTCTGTTTTTTTCTTTTGCCTTTTCATTGATTAAAAAAAATGAGATGAAAAGAAATTGTATACCCCCTCATACTCCGAATTTTTTTTTTAAAAAAATTACTAAAAAAGTATCTATTACACTTTATTTATACATTTAGCATCATTTACTATTCACACTCAGAATTCGGTTTCCGGGAAACCGAATTCTGAGCTTCAATTTGTTTTTGTTACCAAGATTTAGTTTCCGGGAAACCGAATTCTGAGTAGTTATAAATTTTTTTTTTACGCTATTGTTGCCTAGGTTGCGCAAATCTTGGAAGTGGAACGGTCCGTTCCGGAAACAAAACGACTCGTTCTGCTTGCACACCTAGAATGTTATTTTTGAAATTGGAACGACTCGTTCCAATTTAAAAAATAACAGTCTTTGTGTACAAGCAGAACGGGCCGTTCTGCTTCCGGAACGGGCCGTTCCACTTCTAAGAGTTGCGCAAACTAGATCACAAATCCAAAAAAAAAAATTTAAAAACAACTATTAGAATTCGGTTCCGGAGAACCGAATTCTGATAAAAAAATAAAAAAATTTGAAACTCAGAGTTCGATTCCCCAATAATCGAATTCTGAGTATAAACAATGAATGATGCTAGATGTGTAAATAAAGTTTAACAAATACTTTTTTGGTAATTTTTTTTTAAATTCTAGTTCTGTAAAAAATTCTCATACTCCTATTATGTCTGTTCTCTTGTCATTTCTTAAAATTGGGATTCTTAAATTACATCAATCCTTTAGATGTGATAGTATGGTTGACATTTAAAATTAAATTTTTGTAAAAAAATTGATGTAGCAAAAAAAAAAAATGTACAATTTCCATTTGATTTTATGTGTGTACTTGGATTTACAAACTAGGTAAAAAGTAAATAATATATATAGTTTGTTATCTAAAATCAGTAAGCTCCATTTTTAATCATTTTATTTGATCTATACAAATATAGTTTATTATTATTATTATTATTATTATTATTATTATTATTATTATTATTATTATTATACATTGATTTAAAAATTAGACCGAATATATATAGATTGATTCAAACCACTTTTTTGTTACGTATGACACGAAAACCAACCGATCAAAGACCAGATAAATCTGGTTTGAAACTTGAAAGAATTAAAAATTAACCTCGATAATACTTAATATTTTCTTAAATAGAACAAATCATTACAACTTATTTTTAAGTGTATGGAAAATGTTCCTGATTGGAGAACATAAGCATGTCTTACTCGAATAAATTGTCTCGTAGAAGATATTTGGATTTCTAATTAAAAAAAAGACACTTATTTTAATATATTATGTTAAAAGGTTAAATATGCTTAGTTCGTGAACTTTTATAAATTTTTAATTTTAATTTTTAGATATATTCTATTTGACTTTAGTTCCTAATTTTTTTTCATAACAAAATGTTTTATGCTGATAAACAAAAATATTAACAAGAAAAAATATTAAAAATGTAAGATGTAAAATCGATAAAAAGTTTTAAAAAAAATTATTTAGAAAATTGATTAAAGACTAAAAATAAAAATCAATAAAAGTAAAATTTTAAAGACATATTTAATCTTTTGTAAAGGAAACCACTAGATAACCTAGTAATTGATTGAAGACGGATTGAAAGAGTTAAAAATATAAAGATTTAAGTTCAATTCTTATTATTATTATTATTTTTTATTATTTCTTATCTTAAAAAAAAATCTTTTGTAAAGGACAGAACAGAATGTATTAATTAGTTTAATAATGGGTTGATTTAAAAAAATAATGGTTTTACATAATAATGGTAAGATATAATATTAAGATTATGTATACTTTGGAGGTTTGTTTCACTTGGTGCAAGAAGAAAAGCAACGAAAGTTTGTCCCACCATAATTGAGCATGCGCCTTGGTTGAGGTCGAAGTGGACTTGATATGAAAAAGAACCAAACATGATTAATGGAAAAAAAGTGTGTGGTTCTTTGAAGAGAGAGAGAGAGATATGACAGCTTTTACTTTAGAAAATGTTACTCGTTTTTTTGAACAAATTTAGGGGAATGACTGTATGTTGAAGAGATAGACCAAAGTGACCCAACTGTGATGCTTATCTTGCATTGGTTAACGGAATCTAAATTAAAGGCACTTCCATGCCATTACCATGATCCAACATTTACAGCGTACCAAAATATTTTTTTGTTTCTGTTTGTTGATTTTGCAAAATGGATTTTGTTTAAAATTGATTTTGAAATAGGGATGGTGGGTTGATTATCAAAAAGGGGATGGGATGGGTTAAGCTATTAAAAATATGAGTTAAAAAGTTGTAATTCACCCTTTTTTATTTTTAAGATCTTAATTAAAATATTTTAATATATATTATCTCTTTAACATATAATTTTGTTATTTATTAGATCTTATTTTTTTATTTTATCAATACAAGATTTTATTTGTATCTAATGCTATACTGACGTATCTACCATAAATCTAAATCTAAACGTGCACTTGCATAAAAGTAACAAAAAAGAAAGCCAACACAGATATATTCATGAGTCATGCTATAGTGGGTGACCAAAACCATCATCAATTTCGAGCCCCCATATCCCCACTTCCTCGAGATTCTCACATTCTCAATACTTTTGGTTTAAAAATTTTGGGGTTTGGAACTTTACTGAATGGCCAAACCCAGGGAATGTTGGATTCTTCACAGCTCCAAGCACATATTATCCATCACATACATAAGCTAATCAACTTATAGGTCAAGTTTTTTGAGCAATTCAACGAAGCACAAAACTTGTAGCTTGCAAGTGCCCATATCTATGCAATAAAATATGAAATGATTTTGGCCTTTTTTCACCAAAACAAGGGGAAAAGTTGTGGTCTGATGTGAATCTGCATAATGTTCACTCATATGTAGTTATATACTTGTAAAATATAATGCTATCTCTCATAGTCCAGTGTGTATTTTTGGCTTTATTTACTTTGGTGTGAATAAATAATTGTTAAAGCTCTTTCTGTTTCCTGAGCATGTGCATGATTAACTTGCAACTGAATTTCCCATTCTACCCCTGGCATATTCTCTCCCAACCACGTGTCATTTAAAATTTGAAGTTCAATTGGTTTCATTTTAAGGCCATTACATTACATACACATTATCTTGATGACAGGCATGCTGGTAGTGCTAGTTCCCTTTATATTATCAAAAGCCTGTCTTATTTTCTTGGGTCTGACACAAGATTTTTGGTGAATGGAGATTCTGGCACTTATTTTGAAAATCACTGCAGAAGAAAGAATACTACTATTCATTTGAGAACTTTTATAGCCTCATTATCTTTATCCTTTGGAACCATCCAGTACTTGTAGTTGGTTCTTGGATATTCCAATTGAATGGGGAAGCCAAGAGAAGCTGTTCTTTGTTTTGTGGCTTTGTTCTTGTTTTGGAGTTCTTCCAATGCTTTGCTTTCTCCCAAGGGAGTGAACTTTGAAGGTAAGCTTGAAATTTTGTCCTTTCTAGTTCCACAGATTTGTGAAAAAAAGTTTAACATCATTCCTATCTCTTCAAATCAGTTCATTAAGGAGAGTTTTGAAATGAGTCTTTATGTCTCTATCTCTTAATGTAGTGCAAGCTTTAATGGGCATAAAAGCTTCTCTAGTGGATCCTCACGGTATTCTAGATAATTGGGATGGAGATGCAGTTGATCCATGCAGCTGGAATATGGTCACATGTTCCCCTGAGAACCTAGTTATTAGCCTGTGAGTCTCTCTTCAATCTTGTACATTTTCAAGTTGAAATAGTTGCAAAACAAAGCATAAAAAAATGTTGAATACTTGCAAAATGTTATAGAAGTTTGATGAACCTGGTCCTGCTTTTTGCAGGGGCATTCCCAGTCAAAATTTATCTGGTACTCTATCTCCAAGCATAGGAAACCTAACAAATCTTCAGATTGTGTAAGTAATCTCAAAAAGACACTATGCATTTTAGAATTCTCAAGAAGCATGTTTCTTATGTTTATTACTTCTATGTTCTGGACAACTTTTCAGGGTGCTACAGAATAATAACATAACTGGACCAATCCCTTCAGAGATAGGAAAACTTTCCAAGCTTCACACTCTTGATCTCTCTAATAACTTCTTCAATGGGGGAATTCCTCCCCCTTTGGGCCACCTGAAGAGCCTTCAGTACTTGTAAGCATTTATGAGCTATGATTGAGGCATAGAATGTCATGTTGTCAGTGTAACTGTGAGCTGACCTGGTTTCTTAAATGGTCTCAGGAGGCTTAATAATAACAGTTTGGATGGAGAATTCCCAGAGTCACTAGCTAACATGGCACAACTTTCCTTTCTGTAATCCTCATGACCATTTTTTTTCTCCCTATTCTTGAATAAATTTTGTTGTTGTTTTTATTTCTAAAGATTACTTGTTTTTTGTGCTCACCAATTCAGTGACTTGTCCTACAACAATCTGAGTGGCCCTGTACCTAAAATTTTGGCCAAATCATTCAGGTAAAACTTTGTCTCCCTCCCCATTGATTTTAGTGACATTAATTAAGATTTGTTTAGGTAAACTTTTTCAAAAGCATTTCCAAGAGAAAAAAATAGAAAGGAAAAATGAAATAAGTTTAAGATAATTTGTAGAGCTCTTTCCTTTTAGCTTCTCCAAAATCTTGTTTTTAACATATGCATAACCTAATTTTAACTAATAAAGAAGCTTATTTAGATTTTCCTTCTTGTTTTTTCTTTTAAAAGTACTTTTAGAGAAGTTTATTCAAACAAATCATAATGTATTTCTGTGTCTGGAAAATGCAGAAAAAATTTGTACTAACTTCAAAATTCTTCTCATTCCCTTGTGTTGTTTCAGTATTGTAGGAAACCCCCTCGTCTGCGTGACAGAAAAAGAGAAAAACTGCCATGGGATGACACTTATGCCTATGTCAATGAACTTGAACACCACTGAGGGTAAGATCCTTTCATAATTGATCATGAGTTTTTGAAATGGAATGATTTTGTCTTACAAGTTACATCACTTTCCCACTTGTTGCATTATGATACATTCTGCATAGTAATTGTACTAATGTTGATAGCAAAATCTCTTTGCTTACCTAGATGCTTTACCATCAGGCAGAACAAAGGCTCACAAAATGGCCATAGCCTTTGGTTTGAGTCTTGGATGCCTCTGCTTGATAGTTCTTGGTTTTGGACTTGTTCTATGGAGGAGGCACAAACATAAACAACAGACATTCTTCGATGTTAAAGGTAAAATCATAAAAATAAAACCTTTAGTTGAAGCTGAAATTTATGCAATGTTATGCTATGGGTTTGTTTGGATAAACTTCTTCATAAATACTTCTAAAAAAAAAAATCATAAAAAGGAAAATTTTAATAAATTTTTTCATAAGTTAAAACTAATCTATGTACGAGTTAAAAATAAAATTACATAGAAGTTTATATGAGAGAGCTTCTACAAACTAGCATATGCTTAAGTTAATTTTAACTTACGAAGAAATTTATTTTATTTTTCTTTCCTATTTTTCTATTTTAGAAATGTTTGTAGAGAGGTTTGTTCAAACAGATTTCGTATGCACTTATGTGATTGCAACCTATCTTTAATTTTAAACATATTTGGTCCAATTATAATGGTTCCATCAATTTCTGTCTTATTTCTGAATCACTATAGACCGGCATCATGAAGAAGTCTACCTTGGAAACTTGAAGAGGTTCCAATTAAGAGAACTCCAGATTGCTACCAACAACTTCAGCAACAAAAACATTCTTGGAAAGGGTGGTTTTGGAAATGTCTACAAGGGAATTCTTTCAGATGGCACTCTTGTAGCAGTCAAGAGGCTTAAAGATGGCAATGCCATTGGAGGAGATATACAATTTCAGACTGAAGTTGAAATGATCAGCTTAGCAGTGCACAGAAACCTTCTCAAACTGTATGGATTTTGCATGACACCAACAGAAAGGCTTTTGGTTTATCCTTACATGTCTAATGGCAGTGTTGCATCCAGGCTCAAGGGTAAGTTCAATGATAGAAAGAATCACTTTTTCTTACTGTCCTTGATAGAGCTTTTGAATAAAAGTGATTATTTTATCTTGAGACTATGTTTAGATAAACTTTTCTGAAAGCATTTATAGGAATTAAGGTAAATTAAATTTTTTTCCTTAAGTTAAAAATCAACTTAAACACTTCAATTTTATATAAGCTTTCTCATTTAACCTCCCCCAAAAATTGATTTTAACTTGTCTATAAGTTAATTTTAATTTATGGGAGAAGGTTAAGAGTTTGTTTACATAAATTTCTCCATATATATTTATAGGAAAATAAAATAAAATAAAATTTTCCATAAGTTAATCTTAACTTATGCATAAATTAATTGGGAGAAGTTAAAGTTAATTTATATAAATTCTTTTAGCTTCTTCAAAAACATATTTTTAACTTATAAAAAAATTATTTCAACTTTTCGTTCTATTTTTTCTCCTATTCATGAAAAAGTTTATCTAAATAAGTACTAATTCATTTTATCTTCTTATTTTCTTCTCCTTGTGCAAGTGTTTATTGAAAAGTTTATCTAATCATGTTTTTAAGATAAAATAAGCATGCATAAGTTAGGTAAGTTGAGTAGTTGATTCAAATACCAATGTTGAATATTTCCAGGTAAGCCAGTGCTAGACTGGGGCACAAGGAAGCAAATAGCCTTAGGAGCAGCAAGAGGACTACTATACCTTCATGAGCAATGTGATCCAAAGATAATCCATAGAGATGTGAAGGCTGCAAATATATTGCTTGATGACTATTGTGAGGCAGTGGTGGGAGATTTTGGGTTGGCAAAGCTTTTAGATCATCAAGATTCACATGTCACAACTGCAGTGAGGGGCACAGTGGGGCATATTGCACCAGAGTATCTTTCCACAGGGCAATCTTCTGAGAAGACTGATGTCTTTGGATTTGGCATCCTGCTTCTTGAACTGATCACAGGCCAAAGGGCTCTAGAATTTGGAAAAGCAGCTAACCAAAAAGGAGCCATGCTTGATTGGGTAAGCTTGTTCCCTTTCTTATTCATTAAAATTATTATCCCATTTTGTTAACTTGTAGAGTAGTTCAATGTGGGTTTGGTAGCAAAATCACCAATTGGAAAAAATAATCAAACATGTTTTTCTCAAAAATCTTTTAAAAGCATTAGTCGGAGGTGTTAGAAATTTTACATTAATCACTTAAGTATATAAGCAGATCACAATCTTCATTTTAGAAGTCACTTTTGTAGGATTGACTTATTAAAACTCACATGTTAAGATGATATCAAATATTATTCTAAGGATTGTTGTTGGGTTTATTATGTCACTCACTAACAGATTGCTATTTGCCTACTTGCACTCCTGCAAACTTCACACTAAGATGTGAAGTTCTAAACATAAATGATGTGTTAGATATCTCACATAGAAGATATTAGAGAGAAAATAAAAATAAAAATATATAAGTATAAAAATACAATGCATAGAAATGAGAAAGATGAGTACTAGGGTGTTCACAAGTAGGGTTGGGTTCATTTTGGCTAACCTTGTTATCTAATTGGATCAAAATTTTATAAGTTAGGTTGAATTTGTGTGATTTTTTTTTTTTTGATGAGTTAAAGTAAACTTGACCCAATCATGAACGGGTTGAATCAATCAGGTCCAACTATTAAAAATTGAAAGAAAAATATAAAACTAAAAAAATAATAGAATGCATTGAAATGAGAAAGAGAAGTACCAAGTGATTTCCTCAAATTTGTTTATATAGGCTAACAAACTAACTTATTATATCTAATTAACTATATTTCTATTACCTAATGAAAATTCAAAAGTTGAAGTCCTTATATTGTTGACATTCAGGTAAGGAAAATTCATCAAGAGAAGAAGCTTGAGTTGCTTGTTGACAAGGATCTGAAGAACAACTATGACAGGATTGAGCTTGAGGAAATTGTTCAGGTGGCACTCTTGTGCACCCAATATCTTCCGGGCCACAGGCCCAAAATGTCGGAAGTGGTACGCATGCTTGAAGGTGATGGGCTTGCAGAGAAATGGGAAGCCTCTCAAAGTGCCGACACTACTAAGTGTAAGGCCCATGAACTCTCTTCATCAGATAGGTATTCTGACCTCACTGATGACTCTTCATTGTTAGTCCAGGCCATGGAACTCTCAGGCCCAAGGTGATTTTTTCATAGCCATTTTTAGTTTTTTTTCTTCTTTCTCTTAGATTATTTTTGTTTCTTATTTGGTTTCCTAGTCTCCTAAAGAAAGTATATGAAAATGAAGAACATATGATAATTGAGTCCATTCATAACTTCTGATTATATGTTGTATGATAGAAGCCTTAGAAGCTGAAAAGGGCTTGTTTTTGTTTTACTTTTTTTCAAATGTACATATACTTATTTGTTGAAGAAGGGTTTGTAGTGCAAATTTTGTAAAGAGAAAATGAAAACCTTTACCAGGTTTTCAGCGAAATTAGTAATTAAATGATCGATCTTACTTGCCTTGTTTTGTTTATTTGTTTATTTATTTATTTTTATGTTTCATGCTCAATGTAAACTTATTAGAGTTATTCGTCATATTTGATCATTTTTGTTGGTTCTTTATATTAGTATGTTATTTTAATCGATTGATTGGTTTAACTTTAACTGCTCACACGAATAGTTGAAGTATAAAGGTGATATATGGTCCGAGAAAATAGCACATCGCTTTTAATCGGGGGTTTAAGATGGACTCCTATAAATAATTGGAAAAAAATGATTAAGTTTTTCGTTCTTAAATTTTTTTTTTCTCTAAAAAAATTAAGCTTTTTTTTATTAGTTCCTTTCTTTTAAATTTATTCAAACAAATACTTAATATAATATATTTTTTTGGATCAAATAATCTTTCTGTGATATTCATTTCTTATTTACTCCCTCTATACAATATATATTTTTCCTTCAATTTTTTATACATCGCGAGCTTGACATTTAAAAGGGACAAACAAAAAGACTAAACATTAAAATGAAAGAAATCATTTGATAACTAAGTTTAAGATAATTAAAAATTAGACCAAGTAAAAATTACAATTTTTTTAGCGACTATAGTCTAAAAACATATGGGGAGAAAAAGTTACGGATATAATAACGTAATTTTTTTTTCAAGAATAAAAAATAATTGTTTTACCGATATAACATCTTCTCAAGATTATATATCCTAATAAAAGTCTTTTTTTTATATTAATTAATAATTTTTTATTCAGTAGTAAATATATTCTTCTCCATCAAAATTGTAATAAGATGATTGAAGATCCATTAATTCGCATTTAACTTTCAATCGATGATCCTTCGAATGTTGACAATTGATACTTCCATCCTTCACATCTACACTTGGTCTGTGGAATGAGAGCCTTCTATGCCTACATAAACTTCCATACGATCTTGTCTGCGCTCAATCTCTTCTACTCTTACATCTCATATTTATAGGTCGTAACTGACTAACAAACTAAGAGTAATGTAAACTAACTAGTATCTATCGAAGTAAGGAGCACATGTCACATATAACAATTTCCACCTTGACAAAAGACATTATAGTATAATGTTTACATCCAACAACCTACATTGAGTAAATTCTAAAATGAACTTGCTCCTAAGAACTTAACTTTATTATTAGTTACCTTTTCTAGAACTTGCTTAAGTTTGTGGAACAAATGTGAGTCCTCTGGCTCCAGAGGTACTCTTATGAACCTTTCCTAATGCTTAGAAAAAAGTTTTATTTTAAGTTTTTTTTTACGATTTTATGATTAATTATATATACTGGTTAGCAGTGTAGACGGTGTCACATAATGACCCATAAGCCTCCACCGAAGTTAAGTGTGATGTAATTAGAATGACAACCAACATATCACTCAAAATCTCAATATCCAAAGAATGTTTAAGTCTTCAAAGTGGTGGTAAACCTTTTTTATTTTATTTTTACCTTTTCACTGTTTGAGTAAATGTACACATCACACACAATTTGTTACTCGAAAGTGGCAGCAAGATCAAATGCTTATGGCGTGGCTTCAATTTTCACTTTCCCCTATGATTTTGTCTCGCGTTTTAGGAAGCAATCACTCCTATCAAGTTTGGGACAAGATTCATGATTATTTTCATAAACAAACTCGAGCAAGAGCTCAACAGTTATGAACCAAACTCCGATCAACTTCTCTTGCAGAAAAACCTATGGAAGAATTTCTTCTTCGCATCAAAGCTCTTGTTGATGTGCTAGCATTTATTGGAGAATCAGTTTCCTTTCAAGAACATGTTGATGTAATTCTTGAAGGTCTCTCACAAGACTACAACTCTGTGATTTCTGTCGTTGAAAGTAAATTTGAAACTCCTTCAATTGAAGAAGTTGAAGCTCTTTTGCTAGCACACTAGATGCGACTTCAAAAATACAAGAAGAGACTTCTATCAGAATCAGCGTTAATAAATTTAACATAGGCTCCAATAACAAACCCTAACTCTGGTCTGCAATTGAAAATTGAGTCTACAAATCAATCTAATTAGTTTTCACAAGATGTTGATATGGAAATGAATGCTGGAAGAAACACCTATCGCGGCCGCGGAGGTCGACGTGGACGTGGTCGCAGTGGAAGGTTTTCAGGTGTTTAGTGTCAAGTTTGTCATAAAATTGGTCACATTGTTGCATATTGTTATCATCGATTTGATTAAAACTATCAACCTTTGATGGCTTACAATTTTTAGGGAAAAGAACAGGATATGATATGTTTATAGTTCTATGCAGTTACTTTGAGTCCTATTGTTTTGGATTGTTTTGTTGACTTTGGGTTGATCACAATGTTGTTATTGCATTTTATTTGATACTGGTTATTTTTGAAGATAAATGAAGAAACAGTACTCTTGTCTTAGATAGATGGATGACAGGATGAGACGTTGAGACTTATTCCTTTGTTTATGTTTCAAGTCTTTTGACTTTACAAAGGCATGGATGTGGTTTCATGATTGCATCCGGTACATCGAGTACATATTACAAAGGGGAATGGATTTAGTTGGATACGAGTAACAACTTTGACTTGTATATGCTAATGCAGTACATGAACCTATTATTTGCTTTATGATTACATTTGAAGTTTCAATTTTCATTTGTGACTGGGAAGTTGAGAAAATTGTAGGAGTTTTGAACTGTTTGAATCCATATTAGACAAGTTTGTAAATTCCAATGAATAGTAGTAAGGACAAGTGTCAAGAATGCATTGAAACATCGAAGTTTTTGTCATTTCTTCAAATATAGCATTGTGATTGTTGCAGGTGCAGCATAAGGAATTCCTGGCTGAGCAGAAAATGATCAGTGCTATTGCTTCTTCCCAACTCTTTCTATGCTGTGTAAAATTATGACTTTTCTCTTGACTTTTGAGGTGATCGCTGCTGGAACTTTACAAGCCATCTTCATGAAGCTTTGATGCAAAAGAAAGTTGAAACCTATTATAAGCTACCAAGTTGAGAAGGGAGATGAAATGCCACCACTCATCAAAGCCATTGAGAATTGTACAATTTGAAAGGGTGTTTGGCTGAATTCAACACAATTCTGGAATACAAGAAAAATTAAGGACACTATCAAATAGTTTTTCTGCAAAATTATGGGATGGATCTATGTTGTAGAACACTGGTATCACCATCTGTCCTTGGGTTTTTTGTTTTTCTTACTTCACCAGAAAAAAGACCGAGGACTGATTGTGATACCAGTGTTGTGCAACGTAGGTCTATCCCATGCAAGAAAGCAGACAGGGACCACCAGCAAGCCTTTGCAAGACATTAGGGAGAACAGGGTGCACCAAATGGAAAGTTGTTCTCACTGAAGTAGCCAATTTAACTCTAAGTTGAAACCTGTATAGACTACCAAATTGAAAAGGAAGATGAAATGTCACCTGCACTCATTGAAGCCATTGAAAATTCTCATGTATCTATTATCACCTTCTCATGGAACTATGATTCCTCTAAGTGGTTCTTGGTTGAACTTAACAAGATTTTAGAATGCAACAAAGACCAAGGACACTGTACAATGTGTAGGTCATTCCTGCATTCTTGAATCTTGCTGAGTTACTAAGGAGGCAAGGACAAATTGTGATACTAGTGTTCTACAACATAGATCCATCCTATGTGATAAAGCAGACTAGAAGCTATAAGCAATCATATGAAAATCATGAGGGAGAACCGAGGTGAAACAAATGGAAAGCTGCTCTCGCAGAAGTAGTCAATATAATATCTGGGTAGAACTATCAAATAGGTAAATAAAATGAATTGAGTGGGTAAATTTTCTTCAAAAAAAATAAAACAAGATAATGTATTGTTTTAAATTTAGTTGGCAAAATTTTATGCAAAATTCAACAAGATAAGGATGATAAAATTATGATACAGAAGTTAATAGTGATAGAGACTATAGTTGTTTCCTTCTTTTGTGTACGCTCGTGCAATTCAATTGCTGCTTTGCAGTGAAGTTTCATTATCCATAATTGTGTCTAATTGTGTAGAGTTAAAATGTATTTCTTTTTACATATGGTTGAATGAATGAAAAATAATAAATGCTAGAGAGATAATAAAAAACTAAAAAATTCCTTTACATTGTTTGGGAAAAGTATCCCGAGCCTTAAGTCTCACTAGGAGGATCTCACTATGTAAACAACATTGAATGCTATGCTGACATGGTTGGAGTTGAAGCTGGTCAGTAGTAGTAATGAAATTTTTACATTGGAATCCATTACTCAAATCTGTGATAAAGAGTCGCATACCCAGAGCAATTGGATTTTGGAGTTGAAAGCTTAATAAAAAGGAAGGAGATTAAGAACAACTTCTCGCATTGAAGAGGAGGACTTAATCATATATATGATGATATTCCTGGAATTACTTCATCGATACGAAACTTAACTCATTATTGATTGTAACTTCCGTATTTGATTCTCTTTTCTATAATGAAATTAGTCCTTCAAATGTTGAAATTATCTGTTGGAAATACTCTTGGATTTTAGAAAATTATGCCTTTTATGTTGCAATAACATTGGGCTTTAGTAACATGTTGAACAACTTTTCTTTTTGAGACTTTTGGAGAATATTGATGGAAATGAGTTGAGTACTAGCTTTTCGGGAGAGTCAAAGCATGTGAATGTATTGTAAAGAGAAGTTATTAAACTGATTTTGGGTTGTTAACTCTGGTTTACTAAACTGACTAAAGTTTAGTTAAGTAGTGATTACTCAGCATGTATTATATATATAGTGTTCTACATACTGTAAATACACAATTCACATAATACAAATTCAATTACAAAATCTATTACTCTCTTCTCTCTTTTTGCTTCTCTCTTTTCTCACATGGTATCAAGAGCTTGACGATCATCAATGGCTGAAGTGTCTTCTCTGTAACCTTCGTCTGCCCTAATTACGTTTGCACACACAATTTTGTCGAAGTTAGATGAGACAAACTTCCTCATATGGCGTCAACAAGTCGAACCATTCATCAAAGCTCATCAACTCCAAC